AGAAATAGAGACACAGATGTAAAGAACAAACGTACGGACACCAAGGGGGGGAAAGCCGTGGCGGGGTGGGGTGATGGTGGGATGAACTGGGCGATTGGGACTGACATGTATACACTGATGTGTATAAAATTGATGACTAATAAGAATCTGCTGTATAAAAAAAAAATTAAATTCAATTCAAAAAAAATTAAATTAAAAAAAAAAAAAAAGTGGAAGGACCTCCCAGCAGCGAAAACCATGTGTAAAAGGAGAAAAAGGCCACATGTTCTACAAATTACCAGAAGGCCACCGTAGCTAAAAAGAGTCGGTTCAGAGAGAGGTTCAGGATGAGGCCACAGTGGTGGCCGACAGCCAGATTATTTCGGCTGCTCCGCAGAGAGCAGATTACACGAGCAAAAGGTTGGAACTGGGAAGCCAGTTACTGGGCCCTCTTGGAAATGGTGGGAGCTCAGCAGAGGATGGAAGCAACAGAAATGTCCAGAAGAACATGGATATGAGATACTCGGCAGGACCTGCCAATAGCCTGGAACTGGGGGCTGAGGGAATGCATCTGAGTGGACTAGGGTGCCATCAGCCAAAAGCAAGTCACCTCTGGGAACAAATCTAAGAACTTCACTTTAGACATGTTACATGTAAGAAGCAGTGGAGATGTCAAGTACAGAGCTGGCTACTTCGTCCGGAGCTCAGAAGGGTGGCTTAGACTAGAGAAAGAAACATGGGCGTTATATCTACACACAGCCCAGACACTACTCCCCTTTAACAAGCTCTCTGTCTAATTCCTGGAGCACCAGAACTATGAGAAATACATTTCTGTTGTTTATAAGCCACCCAGTCTAGGTTGTTTGCCCAAAAGGGGATACAAAGTGGGCTACAAAACACATACAGTTTAAAGTGAAAAAATCAACAGATGTTTTCCTGTCTTAAAATCTCAAATAAATCTACTTTACATTTTTTACACTATTGTAAAAGCATTTTTTTTTTTTTTTTTTTTTTTTTGCGCGGCTCTCACTGTTTTATCCTCTCCCGTAGCGGAGCACAGGCTCCGGAAGCGCAGGCTCAGCGGCCATGGCTCACGGGCCCAGCCGCTCCGCGGCATGTGGGATCTTCCCAAACCGGGGCACGAACCCGTGTCCCCTGCATCGGCAGGCGGACTCTCAACCACTGCGCCACCAGGGAAGCCCTGTAAAAAGCATTTTAACACTTAAATTTCTGATGTACTCAGCGGAAAAGGAATAGGTGTTACAATTCACTTTTGTTTTCATTAAAATGACTTTAATGTGAACAATCCTTCTTTTTATAGGCAGACCTCAGAGATACTGTGTGTTCAGTTCCAGATCACAGCAGTAAAGCGAATCACGTGAATTTTTTGGTTTCCTAGTGCATACAAAAGTTATGGTTACACTACACTGTGGTCTATTAAGTGTGCAATAGCGTTATGTCTTAAAATAAACAATGTATATGTCTTAATTTAAAATACTTTATTGCAGGCTTCCCTGGTGGCTCAGTAGTTAAGAATCCACCTGCCAATGCAGGGGACACGGATTTGAGCCCTGGTCCGGGAAGATCCCACATGTCACGGAGCAACTAAGCCCACGCACCACAACTACTGAGCCTACACTCTAGAGCCTGCGAGCCACAACTACTGAGCCCGTGTGCCACAACTACTGAAGCCCATGTGCCTAGAGCCGGTGCTCAACAAGAGAAGCCACCGCAATGAGAAGCCTGCACACCGCAACAAAGAGTAGCCCCCGCTCACCGCAACCAGAGAAAAGCCCACGCACAGCAACAAAGATCCAACACAGCCAAAAATAAAATAAATAAAAATTAAAAAAAAAAACTTTATTGCTAAAAAATGCATCATCTGACAATGCAGGGTTGCCACAAACCTTCAATTTGTAAAAAACGCAATTATCTGTAAAGTGCAATAAAATAAGGTATGCCTGTATTCAAAACTTATTTAGACTGCCACTCTGTAATGTTTAAAAATTAGAAACATGTATTCAACAATGGAGAAATGATTAAATAACTGATGATACAGCCATAAGATCATCATGGAGCCATTAAAAAAATCATGCTTTTGAATAATATTTTAAAACATAGGAAACTGTTTATGATATATTAAATGAAAAATGTATAAAGTTATAGATATAAAGCAAAATTCAAAATCTGTGAGACATATTATATGCATGGGTTTCTATACTTATAGAAACGCAACATTTACAGCATAGGAAAAAGACTGAAAGAAATTATAACAAAGCAGTAACACTGGTTATCTATGGTATTGGAATGATGAGTAATTTTAATTTTTGTTATATATTTCTCCACAAATGTCTTAAGTGGATAAATATTTCCTTTATTATAGAGAAAAGCAAATATTCTTTTCAGAAAGACCCACTTTTTATAGGTCGTTGGTTTCTTAATCTTACCCGGCTCTTCTCTTTCTTGTGTTCTTGATGAAGAGCCTGAACTCGAGCTGTCCATTTGCTTTCCTACAAAATTAGTAAAACAAGAGTAATTTAGTGTAACTGTAACAATCACATCTACTCAAAACAGAAGCTTCCTTTTTAGTGAGTACCTATGAAACCCAACCATCTATTTGGTAAAATTTTAGCAGGCATTTAAAAAAGTAAATAAATACAGTCAAAAATGTTTAAACACACTTGCACTTGGTTTTAATCTTATACTCTGAGGCAAGGTTCAGCAAACATTTTCTGTTAAGGGGCTAACAGAAAATATATTAGACTCTGGGGGCCAGATGACTCAGTCACTACTACTAGAAGTAGGAGAAAAGCCATAAGTAATATGTAAATGAACAGACAGAAACGGTCCATAATAGTACGGCTGTGTTCCAATAAAACTTAATTTAAAAAAACAGGTGCTAGCTTGTTAACCTCAGAAGCTAAAAGGAAACATCAAGGTTTCTGGGTCCATAGGTTCTGAACTGATAGAGCTCACAGGAAGGAGACAAAAGAAATTTAGGTGGGACCTGAGGATTTCATAACTGGGTCCTTCAACTAGTGAGACAGCAGCCTGCTGGGAGCAAATGCCAACAGTTCAGTTCAGGACCCAATTCCTGGTCCCCTACCACATACCAGGCACCTCGCTGGGCAGCCGCTGGCAGGCTGGGACAGAACTAAGAGACAGGCCCTGCTTGCCCTGCCCGGAAGAACAGTGGACATACAATGGAGGATTCCCACATAATGTGCACGTGATCAGGTCCAGCTTGGAGGACTGTGGCAGTGCAATAACCCAGAACTCCTGGAGGACTCTCCAGAAGAGATGCCATCCCAGCTGAATAAGTGTCAGGGCCTGAAAACTGGAAGGTGCATAACAAAGAAAGCTGAAAAAGCAAAATCAGATTGCCTCGTCCCGGGAACCAGGAGCTCTTTGGGGCTACTGGGGCGTCAGGGTAAAGGCAAGAATGGTGGGAGATGGCAGGGCCAGATGCCCAGGGACTCTGAATGCTGGTTAAGGGTCCTAGACTTTGTTCTGTGAAAGATGGGGAGCCACTGAAGGATTTTAGACAGGATGGTGACATGATCACCCTGGCTATAACACGAAAGGTAGATTGAGGGGAGAGAGGCAAGACAAGAAGCAGTGGCAGTAGTCCATGTTCAAAAACACATTTACCTTTTAAAATGACATAATATTGCTTTCTGAAAAAATCCTGAATTCATAAGCTTTAATCTCTATGTTTCCTGGCTAAAAAAAAAAAAAAGTTCCCCTAAATCAGTGTGACCAAAACAGCCAGGACGAAGGCTGTACTGATTACTGAGATTCACTTCCAAATGACTGTAATTTATTTGATAAGTGTAAAAGACCACCAGTTTGCCAAGGCGGCCATATATTTAAGCTCTAAAATGTCAGGGCTTCAATATGCCTTTCTATGCCTTTTGAAAGTGGGTCTACATCTGAAACATGAAAAATAACTACTAAGGTAATATGAACCAATTCAAATAGATATTAGTCAAGGAAAAACTAAACAACTTTGCCAACTGTTCTGTATCCACATCTATTAGTCAATCAGTAAGTATCGAATGAACACCTATTCTGAATTACACATGTGTTAGGAGATAAGGAAAAAAGAATTAGTCACCTTCATCGTCACTGAAAGAGGCACTTTTTTGTAGATGGTGCTTACTGTAAATTACCTCACCGAGAAAGATCAGGCCTCTACTGAAGTAGTCACCCACTTTTACATACCTGACTGTCAAGAAGTTGCATCACATTTTGGAAATCCTGGGGATGCTGAGGACGTTCTTCTTTAAGCTCATGTGCATCTTTTAATGTGCCTATGTTACACTTGATCTGCATATTGGACTTCTGGATTTCTGACAATTGCTATAAAATAAAATTCAGAATCACTGGTACAGATGTTCACACTTTTATACGACTGACACAGAGAACAAAATTGGGGAGCACCTGACTATCCTCCTGGACGTTCACCGTGCTTCTCCTGCTTCTCATTCCCAGTGGTTTTCCTGTTTCATTACCTCCAACAAAAGAACGTGCACTGGGAGAGAAAGGGAAAGGAAAACCTAAACTTTCTAATCTTAGATAATCGATCTTTAAAACTTTAATGGGCAGGCAACAGTGCCAGAAACAGAGGAACTGGGTGCAGCTGATTCTCAGGATGACTTAGTGAGGAGGCCAGCATCTTCCAGGGACCACTAGGGACATAAGGTTTTAATGTTACCCTTTGCTTGTAGGTTATTCCCAAACTTACTGGCAGTAAATACCCTCAGAAGGTAATATGTTAACTTCAAAAACAAAAGGATGGGGGAACATTGTCCCCTACTGCTTAAGTCTGGGCTGCACAAGGTGACTTCCTTCCAAAGAGCACAGTATGGAATGGGGGGCAGTGGGGTGGGGAGAAACCTGACAAATACTACCTCAGCCAGGTGATCAAGGTCAACACCAACAGTCATAAACCATGTAGACGGTATGTACCCTTGAAATGACGTGATGAAAATTGTACTTTATCTCTGAGGACTTCTTCCCCAAAACCCATAAACCCTGTCTAACCATGAGAAGAATATCAGGTAAATTCCAACAGACGGGCATCCTACAATATACCTGAAAAGTACACCTTGAAACTGTCAAGGTCATCAAAAACAAGCCTGAGCCTAGAGAAACAAGACAACTAAATGTACTTAGGTATCCTGGATAGGACCCTGGAGCAGAAAAAGGATGTTAGGTAAAAGCAAAAGAAATCTGAATGAAGTATGGACTTTAGTTAAGACTAATGTACCAGTGTTGGCTCATTAATTGTAACAAATGTATGATACTAATTTAAGACGTTAGTAATGTGGAAAACTGTGTACAAGGTTAGGAGAGGGGTATTTATATGGAGCTTTCTGTACTATTTGCTCAGTAAACCTAAAACTATTCCAAAAAATAAAGTCTATTATTAATAATAATTTTTAAAACGCTCTATAGCCAAAGTGGGCAAACAACCCAAATGTCCATCGAATAATGGATCAATAAAATATGGTGTATCCATACAATGAAATATCATTCGGCAATTAAAAAAATATATTGATACATACTACAATGTGGATGAATCTTGAAAACATTACACTAAGTGAAAAGAAGCCACTCACAAAAGATCACATTTTATATGATTTAATTTATATGAAATGTCCAGAACAGGCAGATGCATAGAGACAGAAAGTAGATCTGTGGTTGCCAGGGGTGGGAGGGAGTGCCAATGGGTACAAGGCTTCTTCTTTGGGTGATGAAATGTTCTAAAATGACTGTGATGATGGTTGCATAACTCTGTGAACATAGTAAAAACCACTGAACTGTACAGTCTAAGTAGGTGAATTGTATGATATGTAAACATCTCAAAAAAGCTGTTTGAAGAAAATATGTGGGGCTTCTCTAGTGTTACAGTGGTTAAGAATCTGCCTGCCAATGCAGGGGACACGGGTTCGAGCCCTGGTCTGGGAAGATCCCACATGCCGCAGAGCAACTAAGCCTGTGCGCCACAACTACTGAGCCTGCGCTCTAGAGCCTGCGAGCCACAACTACTGAAGCCCGCGCGCCTAGAGCCCGTGCTCTGCAACAAGAGAAGCCACCGCAATGAGAAGCCCGAGCACCACAACGAAGAGTAGCCCCCGCCCGCCGCAACTAGAAATAAATAAATAAATGTATTTATTGAAAAAAAGAAATATCTATATGAATGGTAAAAAAGTCCTAGGTAGGGAAAAGTCCAATTCTACAATGATCCTGGGGGCAGGGATAACCATGGAGGGAATCTCAGGCAAAAGAGCCATACTGGCAGCTTCATCACAAGGAAAAAAAAGTGTGGCCTTGATGGAGAAGACATAAAAAGCCAGTCTTAAATTGGTTACTATCAGAATCCACTACTGTGGGTAATACGATATCCCACTTGGAGAAGATGCCAAGGGTCTGAGTTCGGGAGAAGCCCCTGGAGTAGGGGTGGTAAAAGAATTACTACTGCCCACAGGTTCTGATGCTTAGAACCAAGCGAGGTGATAGGGGATAGTTGAACCAACAGGGAGTTGACTGAAGAAAGCCCTATAGAAGAGACACAACGAGCCGTCCCAAGTTAATTTCCCCTCAACTTTTTATTTGCAAATTACAACTTATGAAAAAGTTGAAAGAAGAGTATAATGAACACCCATTTCCCCTTCACCAGTTGTTAACCTCGTGCCACATTTGCTTTGTAAAGATATGACAGCGGCTGGCAAACATTTTCTGTAAAGAGCCAGATAGTATTTGACTTTGGGAGACACGTAAGATCTTGGTCATAACCTCTCAACTCCATGGCTCCAGCACAAAAGCTCCATAGACAAAGTGTGGAGGAAAGAGTATGGCTGTGTTCCAAAAAACCTTCACTTGTGGACACTGAAAGGTAAACTTCATATAATTTTCACGTGTCGTGAAATATTTCTTCTTTTGACTTTTTTCAACCACTTAAAAGTGTAAAAAGCTCTCTTAGCTTGAGAGCCATACAAAATCAGGTGGTTTGTCAGGTCTGGGTCACAGGTCATAGTTTGCCCATCCCTGTGAGAGGGTTCAGGACGTTTTAGAGAAGGATCTTAGCAGTATTCCAAAACTATCCCTCTATTTTAGTTTATAAACATGTTGTCCCCTAGAGGGAGCTCCAGACTCTTCCCTTGCCTCCTTTGCTTCACTGTGACCACGGCTGCTCCCACAGGGAAGTGGAGGTTGCATTTAGCGACATCCAGCTCACTCAAACCTGCTAGGCCTGGGGTGAGGAAGGGGCCTGGCAAAGGCTCTCCCTCTGACTTTCTGGGTCAGCTTCCTTCTCCCACATTGGCAATCTCTGTCAGTCTTTCTGGAAAGTTCCTTTGGAAAGCTCTAAAACTCAGGGAGGGAGTTACTGTTTTGGGCTATCTAAACCTAACCAGCTAAGAAAGAGGGACCTTCTTCTCTGATCCATCTAAAATGTACCAAGTGTTCTGCACTGGGGTTTGGGGTCAAAGCTCCCACTCTCAAGGAAACGACTCTTCTGACTTGCTGTCTCTTCCTTATGCCTTGAGCTCCCAAGACTCTCAGGGAGGAGCGGTGTCTGGGCCACGGCACAACAAAGGAACTTCTGGATCCGCGGGCCACATTGCCACTCTAATGCCACCTCTCAAGGCCACAACTCTAACATTGCTATGAAGACTCCGAGGTTTAATACTAACATATTCTCAACGTTTTTTGTGGGTATTTTCAGGTGGAGCCACGTGGCTTGTGGGATCTTAGTTCCCCAACCAGTGATCAAACCTGTGCCCCCAGCACTGGAAGCTCAGAGTCCTAAGCACTGGACCACCAGGGAACTCCCAATACTTACGTATTCTAACGCTGAATTCTTAGAAGTTAGTTCTTTAAACTCCTTCATAAACATTTCCTTGACTTTTTCCATTTCATCAGCTAGTTTCTCCTTTTCTTCTTCTTTCCATCTATCAAATAACTTCAGAAATTCTTCCTCTTTTGTTTTCTGCATTTCATATTCCTGAAATTGATTTAATACATGGCTTTCAAAGCTCTGGTACGAAGCAAGTATGCAGAAATGTAAATAAATGGACATAGTTTCACTTCAAATGGGTCAGCTAGACTTGCAAATTTCAGTTAGGCTTCTTCTGTTTGTTTGTTTTGGTTGCAAAAACACTGCACATAATGGCAGGTCTGTGCACAATGATTTTTCTAAACCAAAGGCAGCACACAGCATCCTTTTGTCCTTATATTCCTTAAAGGACAAATACAGAGGCCCAAAGTCTCAAAAGTTCTATGATCTGTGAACTTGTAGAGTAGGCATGCAATCATATGTAAAATGTAAACATACTTTAAAAGTCTATTGAGAAGAACTTTTCTTGATACCATACCAATTTGGGTAGCGTGGCCCCATCTCACCCTTAATAAACACAAATACATTTTTATATAAGCTAAATTCAAGGTCTGGTCCGATCAGCCTTTGATTTCTGGATGACCTGCTGCTGTTTTTTTTTTTTTTTCTCCTAATTGGGGACCTGAACTACACTACAAATAAACTCCACCTAACAAACATACAGAACACTGCACCCAACAACAGCAGAATATACATTCTTGTTAAATGCACATGGAAGATTCACCAGGATAGACTATATGTTAGGCCTTAAAATGATGTTCAATTTTAAAAGGTTGATATCATGCAAATTATCTCCTCCAACCACAACAGAATGAGGCCAGAAATCACTAACAAAAGGAAAACTGGAAAATTCACAAATGTGTGAAAATGAAACAATATACTCTTAAACAGTCAATGGGTCAAAGAAAACCTCACTAGGGAAATTCAAAAATACTTTAGGATGAATGAAAATTAAAGCACAACGTACCAAAAAAGGGAAGCAGACAAATCAGTGCTCAGAGGGAAATTTATAACTGTAAGCACCTACATTAAAAAAGGAAGGGGTTCCCTGGTGGCGCAGTGGTTGAGAGTCCGCCTGCCGATGCAGGGGACATGGGTTCGTGCCCGGGTCCGGGAAGATCCCACATGCCACAGAGCGGCTTGGCCCGTGAGCCATGGCCGCTGAGCCTGCGCGTCCGGAGCCTGTGCTCCACAACGGGAGAGGCCACAACAGTGAGAGGCCTGCGTACCACAAAAAAAAAAAAAAAAAAAAAAGGAAGCTCTCAAATGACAAAAAAAGGTCATTACATAATGATAAAGAGGTCAATTCATCAAGAAACTATAACAACTGTAAATATATATGCATGAAGCATTGGAGCACCTAAAATATATAAAGCAAATACCAACAGAATGAGAAAGAGAAATAAACAACAATACAATAATAGTAGGGCAACTTTAATAACCCACTCTCAACAATGGGTCATCCAGACAGAAAATCAATAAGGAAACACAGGAGTTGAACAATACTATAGACAAAATGGACCTAAAAGAGATATGCAGAACATCCTACCCAATAACAGTAGAATACACATCCATCTCAAGTACATACAGAATATTCTCCAGGATAGATCATATATTAGGTCATAAAACAAGTATTAACAAATTCAGGAAGACTGACTTTATATCAAGTATTTTTTCTGACCACAATGTTATGAAACTAGAAAACAGTAACAGAAGGAAAAATTGAAATTCACAAATACAACATACCGAAACTTATGGGATGCATTAAAAGCAGCTCTAAAAGGAAAGTTTATAGCTATAAACGCCTACATGAAGAACAAAGAAAGATCTCAAATAAGCAACCTAACATTATACCTCAAAGAACCAGAAAAAAAGAACAAACTAAGTCCCAAGTTAGCAGAAGGAAGGAAATGATAAAGGTTAGAGCAGAAATAAATGAAATACAGGATACTGAAGACAATAGAAAAGATTAAAAAAACTAAGAGTTGATTTTTTGAAAAGATAAACAAAATTGACAAACCTTTAGCTAGACTAACAAAGAAAAGAAAGAGGACTCAAATAAATGAAATTATACATGAAAGAGGAGACATTACAACTGATACTACAGAATTACAAAGGATCATGATAGCCTACTATGAACAATTGCATGCCAACCAATTGGACAATCTAGAAGAAATAAATTCCTAGAGACATACAACCTACCAAGATTGAATCATGAAGAAAGAGAAAATCTGAACAGATGAATAATGAGTAAGGAGATTGAATCAGTAACCAAAAAACTCCCAAAAAAGAAAAGCTCAGGACCAGACGGTTTTTACTAGTGAATTCTACCAAACATTTACAAGGAATTAACCCCAATCCTTCCCAACATATAACTGTTTCTGAATTTAGCATACCTTAGAGAATCTGACTACATGGACATGCTGTGCAGCCTCTAGCTGAGACCTGGTGAGCTGCAGCTGCTCCTTCAACATGTCGATCTCATTCTGGAGCTTGTCAGTCTGTGCCCTTGTCTTATACTCTGCTGCAACAGAAATACCTCGTTAAAATACCATCTCTTAGAAAACCTATCTGAAAACTTTTGGGGTACATCCTATGGATAAGACAAAGACAAAGGAAACTGCTTTTTCTTGGGATATTACTTTTTTCATGCCGCATGAGCCAACTTTTACTCTCTACTATTCAATATTTATTTTCAGTCCTTCATATTATTGAGTGCTGAATTATTTTTAGCAGATTCTTTCAGCCACTAGATTGAGGTTGGATTATCCTACATAGATAGGGTGAGAGCCCATTCAGGGAGCAAAAATGGTACAAGGAATAATCCTGGGCTCTTCTGCAAGATGCCTGTCTCAGTCAGAGAAGGGAAGCAACAGCTTCCACGGCAGGTACCACAGTATTGAAATCTCTATGGTCACCATCCTTCTGGCTCCCACCGAACTCTCCTGAGAACCTCATCTGTGCTAAGATAAGCAGAGGCTGGCATTCAAAATGCAAACTTGGGCCATAACCCATCCATGGGGCAAAAACGAACTACGGAAAAGTCGTTAAAGGGAGCAACAAGTGAAGGGAAGAATACTTATGTACATGTACTTACATGCAGATGTACACATGACTGAATGGATATACATGTGTCTGTGAGTGTAGACATGAAAGGTATGGAAACCAAGGTAGAAAGTCAGAATCTCAAAGATGACCTGAAGAAATAATACTCATTTCAGAGTCTGAAATACTCTCTGAAACGAGTATGAGATAGAATAAGATACTGAAACAGAAGAGAAAGAAGGTCAGTTTCACACTGAAGAATGGTAGGTTAATTAAAATACTTAATCTTCCCAATTTCTCCAATACATTGCTAAATTGTATCAGCGGTCCACGGCTTATAAGTGGAATTTTATGCTGTTCATATTGTTTATGCCAAGTTTAGCTGTTTCCTGAATAAATCTATTTATCTGAAATAGGCAGGAATGGAAACAAACTGACCCAAAAGGGAGGGGAAAGCAGGCACTGAGTAACAAGCTAGAAGTACACACATCTAGATACCGAGAACATTTAAGATTGTAATAAGAACTTCTGTGGATTACTGTGGCAATCAGCAGTATGCTTTGATCTGCTCATGGAGAAACAGACCTTGCATTCTTTGCTCCTGAGAACATTTAAATTAGTAGGAAACCTGGTTCCATGGTAAGCCTCCTATCTCCTGCTTCTTCAATTTCTCCCTCTATACACTGGTTAATTCACACTGGCACCCAAACACATCTTAGTATCTCCCACCTCAAACAAGACAAAAATTTTCCCTTGGTCTCATATTTCCCTCCAGGCACTGCCTCCTGTCCCAGCTTTCCTTCCCAGCAAATGTTACTGAAATAAATGTCTGTAATGGACATGACCACTTCCTTGCCTAATTCCCAGCTCACTCCAATCCAGCTTTCATCCCCAATAATTCACTGAATTATGTCACATGTCAAGGTCACCAACAGTCACTGTGACAATAATGGTCAATTCTAGGTCTTCCTCTTCCTCTGTGCCTCAAGATCATTTGGTGTAACTGTCTCCTTCTTGAAACACTCATGCCCCTTGGTTTCCATGACAACACACTTCCCAGCCTCCCTCCTGCCTCCATCACTGTGATTGCTCACTCCCTCAGCTGCTCCTCCTGAGCTCCTAGTGTGGGGCTGACCCTAGCCATCTTCTCTTCTCTAAGTGATCTCATCCAGCCCAGTTCTGCTAACGACTCCCAGGTTTTATCTCCAGCCTGGGCCTTCACTTTGACCTCCAGACCTTCAGCATCTCCACTTGCATAGCAACTGTACGTGTGACTTAATTGTACCCGCGGCCGACACAAATTCTCCATTCTCCTTCCTCCCTCAATCTTCTCCACTCCTGGTCTGTCCCTCAGGAAATGTGACAGCCATTCACCCAAATGTACAGGACAAAAGCCCAGGATCATCTTTGCTTCATCTCTTGCTCTCATGTTGAGTCACATCTCTGTGGCCTCTGCGTCCAGAATAAACCTTCTCCATCTCCACTTCTCCCACCTTCCCTGGTACCGCCCTGGTCCAGTTGCCACATTCTCTCACCTGGGCTATCATGCAGCCTCCTCACCTTCCCAGCTGCTTCCACCTCTGCCCCTACAGTCTGTTCCCCAACTGCAGCTAGAGGGGTCATTTTAAGGTACAGATCAGATCATGTCCCCGCAACTTAAAATCCTCCAGTGGCTTCCCATTACGCTTATTAAATCACCCACATGCCCACCCAGGGCATTCAAGGCCCTATGTGACCTAGTCCCTTCCTAACCCACCACTGCCTTGTCCACCCTGCTCCACCAACCTTCTATCTGTTCCCCAAACATGCCATGCCCTGCCTTTTCCTCACACACCCTCACAGTGCGAGTTCCCCTTGCCCGCGATATACATTTCCCAAATTTCCTGCAGGCTGGGACCCCAGCACCATTCTGGTTTCTGATCAAATAGAGCCTCCTTAATGAGGAGTCACTAGGAGTCACTCTCCATCCCATTCTCCTACTTTATGTTCTTCATTGCACTTGCCACCATTTGAAAAGAATCACTCATTCATTTGTTTAAACGTGAATCCTCCATCCCTCCCATTAGGGTGTAAGAGAGCCAGACAGGGTCTGTCTTGCTTATGACGGTATCCCCGACCCCTAAGGCAGTGCATGGCACACAGTAGGGGCTCAATACTAACTAAATGAGTGAACAAGGACTATGACGCTTTCTTTTAAAAGGATTGAGAGATGCTTTGGACCATGTCTCACTGAAAAAATAAAAAGGCACCAGAAAGAAAAGAGATCTTTGAAGTAGCGCTCACGACTTACCAAGATGAGAATCTTCAGGGTGGCGGCGCTGAATATGACTTTGTAGAAAAGCTTGGTTCATAAAGGCCTTGTCACAAAAACGGCACTGAAAAGGAGAGAGCAACAAATCCAAGTGTCTGTAACAAGTGCCCTTCCACCTAATTTGAATTAAAATTTGGGTCCCTGAAGCATTATCTCTTGGGGGATTTCCCCCAAATGTTACCACCCTGGCAAGTGATACTGAAAGCATAACTAAAAAGACATACAAGACCAGGGTGTTCTTCCCAAACTGAAAACAGGACAGTGAAAGCCATCTCTTGACATTTAAAGTAGCCCATCTTGATGGTTTTGGGAACCCCTGATGCTGCCCCTGTTAAGACTGGTGGTTCACAGCCCGCCAGCATCAACTTGTTCATGACACTCCAGTCATGCCAGCCTCTTCCTGTCCCTCAAGCAAGCCAGCTTCAGACCCTTTGCATTGGCTGGTCCCCTGCCCGAGTCTTCCCCAGACCTTCCCATGACTGGCTCCTTCTCGACATTCAAGATGTCATTTACGGAGCATCTTCCACGCTCGGGCTGAGCTGCACGTCCTCAGCAAATCTTCCTGCATGAGCCTCCTGACAGGCACTGTCCCATCACACTGTCTTGTTTTCATCATTGTACATCTCACCAGTTAATATTTTCAGGTTTATTTACTTCACTTGCTTATTGTCTCCTGCCTAATCCCTCTAGGTTCTAGCATGTCAGCTTCCTGAGAGCATGAACTCTTTTCTCTCTTATTCATAGCTTTATCCCCAGAGACCAGCATTAAAAAATCATTGAGCACATGCTTAGAAATATTTGGCCTCCTAAAATGAAGTTACTGGGAAAAAGAAAATCAATCCTACCAATATCTCTATTCTCTACTTTAACACAATTTTTAAGCAAAAAATTCAACTTGTTTCATCTATATCCTCCCCCCGGATTACTCTGAAGTAAGTCCTGGATACTGTATATTTCATTTGTCAATATTTCAGAATCTATCTCCAAAAGGACTTTCTTTTAACACAATCATATTATTATTATCCCACCTTTTAAAATGTAAAAATTCATTTCTTAATTATCAACAAATATCCAACCATTTGTTTATTTTTTCCCCAATATTTCACACATTGTCTTAGAAAACATTTTTGCAGTTTGTTGTGAATCAGGATACAAATAAGGTCATATCCTGCAACTGGTTGTTTTGTCTCTTAATTCTGTTTTTGTCTATAGGCTGAGCCTCCAAGCTCCTTTTCCTTATAATTCTTTTGCTGAAGAAATTGAACATTTGTCCTGCAGAGTTACTCTCAGTCTGGATTTTGCTGTTTCATCTCTATTGTGCTATTTACATGTTCTCCTATTCAGCTTTTGCCTTACTCTTTTTTGTTTTGTTTTGTTTTGTTTTTGCGTTACGCGGGCCTCTCACTGTTGTGGCCTCTCCCGCTGCGGAGCACAGGCTCTGGACGCACAGGCTTACGGGCCCAGCCGCTCTGCGGCATGTGGGATCTTCCCGGACCAGGGCACGAACCCATGTCCCCTGCATCGGCAGGCGGACTCTCAACCACTGCGCCACCAGGGAAGCTCTTTGCCTTACTCTTTTTTTTTTTTTGCGGTACGCAGGCCTCTCACTGCCGCGGCCTCTCCCGTCACTGAGCACAGGCTCCGGACGTGCAGGCCCAGCGGCCATGGCTCATGGGCCCAGCAGCTCCGCGGCATGTGGGGTCTTCCTGGACCGGGGCACGAACCCATGTCCTCTGCATCGGCAGGCGGACTCTCAACCACTGCGCCACCAGGGGAGCCCCTGCCTTACTCTTAATCAGTATAATTGCATCAGAAAACTTTAGGTTCTAATTTCCCAGAAAACTAACATTATGGCATATTTCTAAGCATTACATTTCAGAGGATCTTTACAGCATCTTTTACGACTTCTCTGCTCGTGAGGACTGTTCTGGTTTCCTCACAACAGTTTAGGGACTGCCCACACTGGCTAGGGTGTAAGTGTGGCTCTTGGGCTACACACAGCAGTGGAGAAAGGAAAGGAAGAGGAAACATGGAAGTGTAACTTTTAATTTCTCAAAATAGAAAATACGTATTTTAACTATTGCAATAATACGGAAAACTCATGAGCTCAGGGTAAGAAGGGGCTCATACTCCAAAAAGAAAAGACTGACATTTTGACTACATCAACATGAGAAACTTCTATGACAAAAATACCAAAACAAAGTTAATAGACTTCTGGTTTCTGGATCTGCATGTAAGGAGCTTGAAAATCGCCACTCCATCCTAACAACAAGGAAAAAGCTGAACAGACTGAAAAATCCACAACTTCTTGGATCTGTAAGAGAGGGGAGGATACAGGGCAAACCACTGCCCCTGAGTGTGCTTTTCAACACTGCACTTTAAGTCCTTGCTAATGTAATAAGGCAAGAAAAAAATTAAAAGATATACAGACTGGAAAGGAAGACACAGAACTGTCTTCGTTTGCAGATGACATGATCGTCTGTGTAAAAAATCCAAAAGGATTGCCAAAAATCTCCTGGAACTAATAACCAGGTATAGCAAAGTTGCAGGATACGAGGTTAATATACAAAAGTCAACTGCTTTCCTATATACCAGTAATGAACAAGTGGAATCTGAAATTAAAAATGTAATAACATTTACATTAGCACCCCCCAAAATGAAATACTTAGGTCTGTTGATAACGGGGCAAGCTATGCATGTGTAGGGGCAGGAGATATATGGAAACTTTTTGTACCTTCCCCTCAATGAAACTAAAATTGCTCTAAAAGAAAAAACTTAAGTTCACACAAAAACCTGCAAGTGAATGTTTATAGCAGCATTATTCATAAGAGCCAGATACGGGTTCCAGGCAAGATATCCTACAAAAGTAAAAGGTCAACAGACTCTGATTTATGTACACCATGGAATACTAGTCAGTTTTTTAAAAGTGAATGGATTAGTGAAACCTGAAACAACTGGCTATCAGGCCCCAAAGCCAAAACTATCTGATCTACCATCACTGGGATTAAAACATACTTTATAATAGATCTTACAGTAATTAGAAACTTAATAAAAGTCAGATCATTCTTTACAATGAAAAACAGCAGGAGGTTCAGGAATCCTACTTATTGCACAAAGATTCTGCCTTAGAAATAATAAAGTTCCCTTTCAGGGTAAGAAGGTGGGAAGGAATTCTACATCATGTAGAATCAAATTTCTCCATTAATAAGATAATGATAAAACTTTAAAAAATGCTGTAAAAACTTTATCCTATAACCCTTTGCATTTTCTTAAAAAAATACTTTTAAATATATGATAAATATGTTTGATATACAGATGAATGATATAAACTGCTATTTCAAAGGAGTTCCCTTAAAGCATCTTTAGGACAGAAAGTGACATAATGAATTAAGAAAAATTAGGTACTATGAACTATTCATAGAAAGGAATCTGATACTCTTTCCATGACAACCCCAGGGATATAATATGTCAAATTATGTCCAGTGTACTTGGTTTCAGAATGTTGACTACATGTAGGTTGTATGCTATGTAAAACATGTAAATGTCTTAATACCACTTCTATCCAAAATCATTAAAAATTTAAAAATACTTAGTGTAATGAAATTAACACAAGAACTCAGGATTCCTTTACCTAAATGAGTAGGATGGAGGTTTTTGATTCCTCCAGATGTTTTTTAAGACCTCTCAAAGACAATGACGGAGAACAGGAGATAAAGATTTTCACTATGCCCACTAAGAGCTAGGCCCGGGCTTCCCTGGTGGCGCAGTGGTTGAGAGTCCGCCTGCCGATGCAGGGGACACGGGTTCGTGCCCCGGTCCGGGAAGATCCCACATGCCGCGGAGTGGCTGGGCCTGTGAGCCATGGCCGCTGAGCCTGCGCATCCGGAGCCTGTGCTCCGCAACGGGAGAGGCCACAACAGTGAGAGGCCCCCGTACCGAAAAAAAAAAAAAAAAAAAAGAGCTAGGCCCTGTTACATCACTATCTCTTAAAATTTCCATGGCAACCACTTTATCCATGAAGAAATCAAAGCTCAGGAAAGTTAAGTTGCAGCCTTATTGGTTACACAGTTTGACCCATGTCCCTCTGACAGCAAAATGCATGCTTTTTCTACTCCCCAACACTCATCTCCAACTCAAAGGGGCTCAATAATTGAAACAAGGGACAGAAATTCACTGACAGATTCCAAAATCTATCTGTGTTGCTGAAGTGTGGGGAGGAATCTGAGTCTTCCAGCTGTGAAAATGAAAGGTCTTCTTAGAGTCTAAGTCCTATTATAATCCACTGGAATTTTTTAATTTTTAAAGTTTTAAAAATAATTTGATAGCCAGATCACTGGTACACACTGGCCTTTACACATGGCCATCAAACTTCCCCGGCTGTTGGAGGTTTCTACTTAAATAAAAATTCACACTGCAGACTAAAGTCAAATAACTATTTAAACAAAATCAATTGACTTCCCATAAATTTTACTATAGGCCAAATATCCCTAGCTTACGAATCTGTAACAAAGATTATAACACCGTGGAATCCCTGCTAGCTTACATGCCAACTATTTTTAGCAGCAGTCTTTGACTACCCCTCCCTGAAACACTGATTCTCACAGCATCTCAGCACTGTGACCTCTGGCCTTCTGGTCTGAGGATTCATAAAGAGATAGGTCACAGGTAGCCACAGCTCACTACAGGGAAGCCACTGCAGAAATCAACATCCACTTGTTGGATGCTATTTACTGAGCTTCCCTCGTGCTATACATGCATTATCTCACAGGATTCTCAGAGCAACCCTACTACTAATGTTCTCATTTTCCAGATGAGGAAACTGAGGTTTAGAAGTTAAAAGACTTGCACAGAGGAATCGGTGGAATTCAAACCCAGGTAGTCTGACTCCAGAGTTGTCACCCTAAAGGCTCTCACTGCTCAAGAACTCCATAAAGAGACAATGGCAAGTCACTTAATAGAGGGCAGAGTATACGTGTACTACACTAAGTAGGAAAAGGTGGTGTGGTCATTCCTATCTCTTCTTGGCCACACCTGGGCACACCATACAGCTACCACCGCCATTCAGAGTCTGAGTGGCCAAGAGTTGGCAGGTGTCACTCATTTGATAAAAGTGAGCCATTACTTTTTTATCATATTATCATTCACATTTGAAAATCTTCACTTACGAACAGCTATTTTTATGATAACCAAAAGAACAAAAGTTTATGAACATATAATTTTTATGTTACAGGTTTTAATGTTTCATTGAATAATACCAAAGCCAGGTAAACTTTCTTTAATGTTTTAAACAGAACCTATTCTATCCATTTTATGATAATTACATTTAAAGAGCCATCTCAGCACTATTTATAAATATTTAGTTTTTAAATAGCATTTATGAAACACATAGGCAATTAGCAACATCAGGTATCATTGGATGACTATACCAAAAGGTTGTATACCCAAGGCTAAACATTAAGACTTTCTAACAGCATTCTTTCCCAACTGTTCACCTAGTTTAAGTACACTTCTCTCAAGGCTCCTGTTGGGTCAGTCTTAAGCACTATTAACCTCACTGTTTTCTGAGCCCTACACCCAGTTCTCCACATTCACTCCTGCTTTGCCTCCACCATTACCTAAATCCACTGAGGCCTTTTAAGTCCTATTTAGCCAAAATGACTGGAATGTAGGGGTGTGAAATCAGTCTTGTCAGTCTATTGCTTACTTTGATATCTTCATCAAACATTCTTTGCTTCTTCCACCTAACCAATAAAAAAGATAAATATGCTGGTTTCTGTTACACACAAAAATGACAATATTTATCTTGGGTTCAATGTCTAACCCCTTAACAGTTGGGAGATTAAGAACAAAAAGGCAAAATTAAAAAAATTTTTAAGTAGTACTGTTATATCAGCAAGTATTCTCCTGCTTAGGAAATATACACATTGAAATACTTAAGAGTCTGCGACTCACTGCCAAATGGTTCAAAGGTAATAGGATGAAAGAGAGACAGAGAAAATAAGGCCAATGTGGCAAATGTTAATAATTGGTGTAAGGAAGTTTTTGCACTGATTTGTAATCTTTCTGTAAATTTAAAAATATTTCAAAATTTAAAAATGAGGAAAAAAAATCCACAAATTTAAGCATTCCATATCATTTGGGGCCGCAGCTCAACAGCAATATGTACCTGGTTTATTTTTCATTACACCGATTAGGAGGAAGAAACAGTTTCTTAAACAACCAGCTTTTAGATAATTCAAGAAAGCACCGCAGTCAACGTTACTTAATTAATAACCCTATGCTAGTCTACACAAGGTAACGAACCACGTTATCTGTTGGTTAAAATTACTCTTTCGCTTAAATATATGCTGTTTCTTCTAATATAGAGTACAAATCAAAAAAAAAAAAAAAAAAAAAGGCAGTGCTGTAGGAAAGGGCTCTCAGTAGCCCAGCCAGTAGGAACTGAGGGTTTTACTGGGTAATCACAAGGCAGCTTCCCACCTGGAAGTAGCTGGCTTTGGCCTCAATCATCAACTGCTGGGTGGAGATCAACTTTTTCCTGCGTTTACACTCTTCCCTGAGTAGCTTGATCTCGCCGGCCTGCTTGGCGAGGAGCTTCTTGCTCTGCTCGCACTCGGCCAGGCTCAGGCGCAGCCGCTCCTCCAGGTTGTGCAGCTGCGAGGTGAGGAACTCCTGCGAGTGCAGCAGGTACTCGATGGTGAGCTGCGCCAGGCGGATCAGCTTCAGCAGCACCGGGTCCACCCCCGACTGGCAGTGCGGGCACTTCTCGTCCTCCAGCTTGCAGAAGGTGATGTTCATGATGTTCTCCTGCAGCGTGAGCACGTCCACGGCGCCTGCCACCTTGTCCACGTCGATGGCGCTCAGCCGCCGCCAGTCCACGTTCTCCAGCCGCGGGCGGAACTGGAAGAAGGGCAGGGGGCCCGAAGCCGCGCTGGGGGGGCCGCAGGCCATGGCGGCCCCGCCCGCCGCGGCGGCTTCGGAGGCGGGTCTCTCCAGGCTGTTGGCGAGCGGGTAGTAGACGTGTTTCTGAAAGGGCTGAGGGAAGGAGAGAGAATGGGGGAGGCGGAAGGGGCTGGGAGTTCCGTGGAGTCCCCGCCGCCCCAGCCCGGCATCGGCAGGCGGGCATCCCCGGCTTGCCGCCTCTTACCATGCTTGGAAGCAAATCCGCCGCCTCTGCCGGCTTCGGAGGAGGGGGCAGTCCCGTCTACCCGGCCCGGGCCGCCTCCCGGGCCGCCGCCGCCCCACCCCTCGGAGCGGGGAGAAGGCCGGGTCCCGGCGGCGGCGGCGGCCTAAGGCCTGGGCGTCTAGGCCGTTGTTATGGCAGCGCCACGGGCGTGGACCTGGAGCAAAGTGCGAGCCGGCCGGCGCGCGGTCAGCGTGCGCCCAGGGCCCTGCGGGGCCAAAGAAGAACTCGTCGTGAGCCAGCCGAGAACACACCGGTCCACCTCGAGAGGGCACACTTCCTGAGCGCCGGCTCGCGGGGCACCACCTTGCAAGTCTCTAAGGCGCGGGGAGCCACATCCTAGCTGCCAGCCTGTGATCCTCGCCTTAGGTTTTTGAGATTAGAAAGAACCATTCATCCTCCTCTTTCACGCACAACTCAGAAAACGTGAAGCAACAAATCTATGTAAAATTAAATGGGATGGAGAGGGGCCTAGTTGCAAAAGGGCACGAAGACACTTTGGGGTATAATAAAAAAAATGTTCTCTATTTTGATTGTCTTGTTGATTACCCGGGCATATACATTTTTCCAAACTCACTGAATGGTACACTGAAAATTAACGGTACATTTTGTACATTATACTTCAATAAAGTTGTTTTAAAAATTAAATTTGTAGTGTAGTTAATTATATTTGATGGAAGGCCTCCTAAATTTCTTACATCCAAGATACTTTTTAAAATGGAGTCTTTCTTCCTCTCTGGGTTGGCCACCTAGATATAACATTCGGATAGAATTTCAAACCAAAGAACTTCCCCAAATATGTAATACCTTACTTGTCTTTCCAAAAGGATACTTTTTTTCAAAATGTGAAGATAAAGACAATTATATGGAGGGGGAACTTTACAGGGCCCTGGTATTTACCTTACAAACTTGTGTGGCAGCTGCATTCTGTTTTCTGGAGAGGCTGAACTATTTCTAGCAGCAACTCGTAGACCTCAGGCCTCTCATTCTCGAGGTCTTCTGGGAGCTGCCTGTGGTTACCATAGAGATGTATGAACTGAGGAAAAGCCAGCCATTCCTCAGTCCACCGGGGAGTCCCTGCTTGGACCAACCATCAGGAAAATTTTTGTCTCTCCTAACAGCCAAAGAACAGAAGAAACGAAAATACAGTTCAGAGTAACTGGAAGCAAACTTGTAATGTCAAACATTTCTAGCCCTTTCTAGACACTGAGAACTAGAAATAAGCCCACAGGAAAGCATCCAGAAACTAAGCACACACTTCATTAGACTTCATAGAAGCTGTGCATCCAAATAATTTTGAACGGGATTTTGAAAGAAAAAGAGCTATTATCGATTAACTACAGCCAGCATGACAGTCTTAAAGATCTAGCTTCAAAGTCTGACTCTTCCATTTACTTGCTGCCTGACCTACAAGTTATGGCAGCCCTAGGCTTCAGTTTCCCAGTCTGTTAAATAGACGTCAGGATACCGACCTGGCAGGTCTATGTACCCTGGACTCCATCCACTGGGCTGCAGGATCAGCGGGAACAAGGGCCGTGGTCTCTCTTGCTCACCGTTATATCCCCAGCACCTGGCATAGATCACGCACGGAGAGGCGCGTTAAGAATTTGCCAAAAGGACAAGTGGATAAAGAATGATCCGAATGAGGGGCTTCCCCCGTGGCTCAGTGGTTAAGAATCCACCTGCCAATGCAGGGGACACGAGCCCTGGTCCGGGAAGATCCCACGTGCCCGTGCGCCACAACTACTGAGCCTGTGCTCTAGAGCCCGTGAGCCACAATTACTGGGCCTGCATGCTGCAACTACTGAAGCCTGAGTGCCTAGAGCCCGTGCTCTGCAACAAGAGAAGCCACCGCAATGAGAAGCCCGCGCACCACAAGGAAGGCTAGCCCCTGTGGGCCGCAACTAGAGAAAGCCCAGGGGCAGCAACAAAGACCCAGACAAAAATAAATTAATTAAATAAATTAAAAAAAAAAAAAGAACGATCCGAATGAATTAGGCGCTTAGGAAACGTCAGCTCCCGGCCCCTGTCCCTCACATTTCCTGTGCCCCGGGCTCTGGGTCCAAGCCCTTGAAACTGGGTCTATCCGCGCGCTCCCACTGCATTCTGGGGAGGAGGCGCGCGGGGCTCGAGGCGCCCATCTCCGTTCGCCGCCACCACTCCGCCCGGCCGCGAGCGCCGCGCCGCTGGCCACCCTCGCCCCTCCGCTGAATCTGAGTCGCAAGATGGCCGGAACAGGAAAGAAGGGGGCACCCTTTCCCGTTCCCTCTGAAGGGCCTCCAGCTGGGCGCAGCGCGTCCCGCCCCGGGCGCACCATGGGGACGACCGCCGAACCCACAAAGACAAAGGCCGGGGAACGCAGGCTCCAGTGGGGTCCCGGCGCCGCCCCTTAGAAGGCAAGCAAACGGGGGAGTGGGAGGTTGCGGCAGCCAGGCCAGCGGGGTCTGCAGCCTCGGCTCGCAGCGGGAAAAGAGGAAGGAGGGCCCGGCTTCGCGGGCACCCAGAGGCTCCGGCCTCCCCTGGGCGCCTGGCGCATCCCTGACCTCGACTCACCCCAGCTGCGCGCTTCTGGGCGGGCGCCGGGCGCTGCAGGCGGACAGGGGCGAAGCTGCGGACGCAGGCTCCAGGGGCGCTGCTAGCGCGGGCGGGCCCGTGGAGGCCGAGGAGCAGCCGGGAGGGAAGCGGCGGGCCAGCTCCTTCTTCCAGGACGCAGAGTGAGGCCTGTCCTGGGTAAGTTGTGGCGAGGCTAACCGCCTGGCGCCTCTCTAGGCCCTCCCAGATTCCCGGCCACGGGCGCCTCGGGATCCCCCACCCCCCTCCCGCCCCCTCCCATCTGCGATCTCCCCCCGGCCTCTTCTCTCTGCCTCCCGGCTCCTCCGGCAGCTGGGCGGGACTGTGCGCGTCTAGACCGCCGCGCGAAAATGCGCTCCGCCAATCCCGCTGTTGGTGCAGACACGTGGTGCCTGGGCGCGCTCTGTTGCTGGCGTGGGATGCTAGCCCCAGGAAGACTTTTCAAAGAGAAACCAGATTTACTTCTACCCTGCGGTTAGCCTAACGCCCAGCTAGCTAATTTCCCATAAAGGCAGGGGCTTTTTGTGAATTCCTTCTAAGAAGAGATGCATTTTAATCACAGAAGTCTGCAGATGCAAGAGACCTTATAGGGCTATCTCATGCAGCCTTGCACTCGAGTGACGGGGAAAACAGGATTAAAGACCATTTGCCGAAGCACACAAGGATTTAAATCCATCTAGATTGCGTGTCTCTTTTGGTTATGCCCATTTTAGGACGAAAGGCGTGGATCTCTGTTGGCAGAAAGTTTGTCGGTGGGGGAGAGGGGACGTCCGGGGTCAAAAGTAAGGTAACTGTTTTTTAACCTAAAACTCGAACACACGGTCTAACAATGGGGCAAAATTCCATATAATGCGTAATCCAGAAAGTATGCACATATTTTAACAACCATGAGGTTGACCCAGATTGAGAAATTTGAGTGCATCTTTTGCAAAATCTTACTGTCTGTTGTAGCAAAATAGTTCTTCACTTAGAAAGGAGTAACTTCATAATTTTTGTTGGATGACAACGTGTTACTGTAAAATGCCTTTACTTGTGTTTCTCTTTGACTGAATTAACTTTATCGGCTACTTTATTTAGCACAAGGCATCAAAAATAGTAATAGCTCAAAAAGTATGTTGAATTCCTTTCTTGTTTTAGTTTTTAATTAAAATCATAAGACCTAGGACAACCTTAACAGGTTTTAAAAAATGTGTCCAATTTCAATTTAATGCTTAAATTGGAAAGATCCAGGATCCCATAAAAATGCTCTAAAGTAGTATGGGTAAAGATTTCTAGATAGAAATTTCAGGCAATGTGAGGGAGATGTGGCCACTGCTTTGCAAAATCTATGTACTCTGTAGCCCTTTGTGGTGTGTGTGTGCATGCCTTAGAGGATAATTGCTTAATTAACATTATTTGATAATACACCATTTGTGTTACCAGTATGCCACATATGCAGAATTGGAAGAAATAAGATGAACCAGTTGACCTTGGCATTGGCATAGCAGCAATCATACATTCTTTTTTTTTTTTTAATTTTATTTATTTATTTTTGGCTGTGTTGGGTCTTCGTTGCGGTGCACGGGCTTTCTCTAGTTGCGGTGAGTGGGGGCTACTCTGTTGCAGTGCGTGGGCTTCTCATTGTCGAGGCTTTTCTTGTTGCGGAGCACGGGCTCTAGGCACTCGGGCTTCAGTAGCTGTGGCATGTGGGCTCAGTAGTTGTGGCTTGCGGGCTCTAGAGCTCAGGCTCCGTAGTTGTGGAGCACAAGCTTAGTTGCTCCGTGGCATGTGGGATCTTCCCGGACCAGGGCTCGAACCTGTGTCCCTTGCATTGGTAGGCAGATTCTTAACCACTGGGCCACCAGGGAAGCCCAATCATACATTCTTGATCCTTTCAAACCTCTTATACCAGTTATCACAGCTGAGCAGGGTGTTGCTGTGGTAGTTAAATAATTAAAAAATTTAAAGTTATTTAGGTATCTGTCTCCTGCATCAGACTATGAGAACCTGATGTGTTCTAGCACACTGAGCACATAGTAAGTGCTCAAATAAGTATGTGGTTTTGAAGACAGAAATGATCCTAAAAAAGTAAAATAGAAATATTGGTTACTATTGATCATGTTGTATAGTTAGTAAATTAAAGTGTTATATCTGAATTTATTTCAAATTTTTGTTTTCATTTCTCCTGTTTGAAAACAGCAAGTGCGACAAAATGAAAATTACATTGAGGCAGGCAGTTGGGGATGGTGGCTAGCATGGTATCTATTTATTATTAAACATTACCAGGTCTTATAGGAGTAAAACAAAGATTAGATATTCAAAGTGGACTTTGAATCAAAGTAATTAAAAGGTATCAAATCAGACAATACATGTTGTTTCTGCCCTTCGTTTTTGATCACCTGGCTAATGTCTTTTAGTTATAATTATAATATCATATATAGTATACAGAAAAGTGTGTAAGATATATATGTACATTTTAAAGAATAATCAAGTGAACATTTATATACCCACCCCCCAGTTTAAACCATTCCTAGCATTTTGGAAACTCCTCTTTGTACCTCCCCAATCATATCCCTTTCCATCCTCCTACTTAACAGTTGTCCTAACTTTTGGGTTAAATCATTCCCTTTTTTGTACAGTTTACACATTATATTGTTTACATGTTATATAGACAGTATATTATTTACTTTTGAAAAATTGAGTAGCAAGCACAACTTGTGTAAAGATGAGTCAGATGAGTGTCAGGGTCCATACTACCTTTTAAGGCAAGAGGGCTTCCACCCTGGCCTGGCCCTTTAGAAAAGCCCAAGAAGCTAATGGACCTGGTCCTCCCATAGCCTGTGCTCTCCCATTCTAGACCATACTTCATAGAACCTTGGAACTTCCCGCACAAACTGTCCACGCCAACTTTCAGAGCCTGTATGGGCTGCTTCTCCAAGTCTGTCTTCTCAAAGACGGACTGTATTGCTTATGGTTAGCCACATGGGGTGGCTGCAGTCAGCAGACTATTTAGAAGTACTAAATAGTGCAGGTATATGGATTGGCAAATATAACCCTTAGGCACACAAGACCTCTCTCTGGTCGGGATGGTGCCAGGATACAAAAGAGAAGAGTTGCTGCCTGGGAGCTTGGCAGAGTGCAAGAATTCGAAATTCAAACCTGGCTTCTCAGCCTCAGCTTCCTGTGAGTAACTTAAAATAGGATGCTGCTGGCAGGCGGTTGTCAATGTATATTGCAAACTCTAGGGCAACCATTAAAAAATTAAAAAGAGGAGTATGATTAATATGTTAAGAGAGGAGATAAATGGAATGTTATAAACTGCTCCATTAAAACCAGAAAAGGCAGGAAAAGAGGGTGAAAAGAAAAGAAAAGAAAGAAAGGAAGGAAGAATGAATAGAAAACAGTTACAAACATGGAAGCCATTAGCCCAATTATATCAATAATCATTTTAGATGTGAATGGTCTAAATAAACCAATTAAAAGATTGTCAGAGTGGATTAAAAAAAATTAGACCCAACAGTATGTTACATATAAGAAACTCACTTCAAATATAAAGACTTAGATGGTTTAAAAGGGATAGAAAAAGATACATCACTAATCAAAGGAAATCTGGAGCAGCTGTATTAGTTTCAGACAAAGCAGACCTCGGAACAAGGAAAGTGATTAGGAACTAAGAGGAATACTGTATAATGTTGAAGGGGTCAGTGTTCCAAGAAGACGTAATCCTTAACATGTATGCACTCAAGAAAGGAGTATGAAAATAAATGAGGCAAAACAGAACTGGAAAGAGAAATAGACAAATCCACAATTATACTTGGACACTTCAACATCCCTCTTTAACAATTAATAGATCAGTTAGGACAAAATTGACCCAAGTAGTCCTATCAATCAACCTGATCTAACTGGCAATTATAGAATACTCCATCCAACAACAGGAGAATACACGTTCTTCTCAAATTTGCATGGAACGTTCAGAAAGATAGACTACATTCTGTGCCATCAAACATATCTTAACAAATGTAAAAGAATAGAAATCATACAACATATGTTCTCAGACCACAGTAAAATTAAACTAGAAATCAGTAGCAGAAAGATAGCTGGAAAATCCCCAAATATTTGGAGATTAACCAACACGCTTCTCTCAAGAGAAATTTTAAAATATTTGGAACTAAATAATAATACAACTTATTAAAATTTGTGGGATGCAGTGAAAATGGGGCTTAGAGGGAAATTTGCTCATTAGAAGTGAGTCCCTAAGTTTGACCGACACCCAAGGGGAGGGGAATCAGGTTTGCCTTTTGAAGGCAGGATGCATCAAAGATTTTGAGGCGGTATTTTGAAACTACACCGCAACCAGTACCAGAACCTCCCTTTCTTTGATTGTTCTGTGGTGGCTTAAGTAGAGAAAATGACTTGATGACAGTTTCAATTTACAATTCAATTGAACCGTTTACGTGTTGCCTTGAACTGACTAGGGTCCGGAAGATGGGTTCAAAACCAAAAACCAAAACCCAAACCTAACTCTCATGGAGGGTGGCTCAGTCCTGGTGTTTGTAGTAGTATGGGAGGGGCCCTACAAACCAGATAAGAACTTGTGGTTTGATGAAATGCCGCACTTTGAAGCCCCTGATTAATTTATGGGGGAAGAGTCAGACTGTTTTTATCAGAATCTGATTGATATGACCATGGTAGGATTACCAAGCTGGCTTTACCTCTGGTAGTTAACAGCCTCTACATGGGCCCAAGCATCTTGGGCTCCTCCCATCCCCCCTGAGATCTGGGAGTCCATTTCAATGGCAGCTCTTGCACCCAGCTTTCCAAGTCTAGAGAGGGCTTTTTGTAAAGAGCAGTCACTTCCCTTAGGAGATGGATACAGAATTTTAGTTCACTGCGCTTTCAAGCCCTCTTCCTTTAATGTGTCTTCCTGCTCTGCAGAAGCGAGGAAGCTAACAACCGTGCTAACCAGACTCCTTTCCAGCTCATATTCTGCAAGCAATTGGTTTCTGCCAATTAGACACACTTTAAAAAAAAAAAAAAATTTATTTATTTATTTTTGGCTGCGTTGGGTCTTTGTTGCTACGCGCGGGCTTTCTCTAGTTCTGGCGAGCAGGGGCTACTCTTCGTTGGGGTGCCCAGGCTTCTCATTGCGGTGGCTTGTCTTTGTCGCGGAGCACGGGCTCTAGGCGTACG